AATTTTTTTTTTGTTGGTGGGGGATGGGTGGGGGGGGGAGGATAGTAGGGTGGTGACGGAAAAAAACTAATTTTTTTTTAAAAAAAAAAGTCTTTTTGGAGAGAGGGGGTGGGAGAGGTGTGGTAGGGAGAGGAGGGGACAGGGGTTGAGGTTAGATGTGAGGATAAGTTGAGTTTTTAGAAAATGGTTTCCTAACTTTTTCATTTTCCTCCAATTTCAGGAAAATGTGATATCTAGGAAAACATTTTCCATACTATTTTGTGCAACCAAACAATGAAAAATAGGAAAACATTTTCCGAAAAATATTTTCCGTCATGCCAAACACACCCTAAGTGTCTGGATTTCTTAACTTAATTTAAAATTCAGAACATAAGATTCGAATTTCGACATAATTTTTGAACTTTAGGGCACCTAAAGTTTGAACCTTGAGGTTTAAACTTTAGGACGGCGCCCCCCAAAGTTTGGGTTAAATACATTGTAATTTGTGGATATATTTTAGACCGAAATTCAAAAATAGCCAGATTTACAAGTGGTAATTGAAAAATAGCCACATTTTCAAAAGTAATCAAAATTTAGTCACTTTTCATGTAAAGATAAATCTGAACGAAAACACTGTTCAAAATTCGAAAAATATTCCAACATAATATACTAGAGTTCGAATTTTTTATATGTGAACCTCCAGCAAAATATACTGGAGTTCCAGCATAATATGTTGGAAGTTCATACACATGTGCTCCAATTTCCAGTATATTATGCTGGAACTTTTCGTGTGCTGGAGTTGTAGCATAATATGCTGGAAGTTCATACACAGGTGCACCAATCTCCAGTATATTATGCTGGAACTTCCGTGTTACAGCAAAATAGTAGCTATTTTTCAATGACAGTGCAAATACTGGCTATTTTTTAATTACCAGTTTAAAAATTGGCTAGCCCATGCTATTTCACTATATTTTAAATTGCAGGCTTAAAAGTGGCTATTGGTGCACTTCACCTTGCATCAACCCAATCTCTCTTTGGTTACCTTTTCGAGTGGGCCTGGTCCTAATTCGAACTACCAAGTACCAGCTACCAAAATCCTCTTAATATTCCAATTTTGACAAATTTCGTCTTCTCCAAGTAACCCTTCCTTCGGTTCTCTACAGCCAAAAACCCTATAGATTGATATTAGCATCATTATCATCATATTCCCTAGATTAAGAGCTCTGAGACTGAAATACCCTATCCTTAAATGGCGTTAACGAACTTTATACTAACGGTGGTCGGAGTGAGCGCGGCTATATTATTGCTGAGGAGCGATGTCAAACAGTCTGCATCCATCTTCAAGCGTAACGTCCGTCAAATTCGCCATTGGCTCGAGGAAGAGTCTTCCTCCGCCGCCAAGTATGCCCTTACACTTCCCTGTCCTTTTTAATAATTTTTGCTTATCGAAAGTGCTGTGCTATAATTCTCATTGATTGATAAAAACGAGATCTTTATACAATGGAATTGCAAAGACTCAGTTCACATTCCCGTAACTAACTTTGATTCCCAGTAAACAAATTTCCTTCCAAATTGAATCAACCGCTAACTAACTGCTTTAACTAACAAGCTGACGTGGCATTTTCTAGCTTCTTCTCCAGCTGCTCTATCTTTTATTACTCCTTGATCCTTCTCTTGCAAATGCCACTGTAGCTAGACTGAGCTGGAATTGGGCTCAACTTAGCTACATTGAGCTGATTCAGTAACTCCTCCAGAGACAGAGCCACGGAACCCATAGCTCGTCTTAGTTACTTGGTCCGCAATTAAATATTTTTACATATTTGATGGATTTGTAAGTACAAATACAGTGTTTAAGCAAAAGTGATTGGGTTCGGCCGAACCCGCACCTAATAGGCTAGCTCCGCCTCTGCCTCCTGCATCATTATCCCTCCCTTGCTGTCCCATTGGCACCATCGTACTACGCAATATACTGGTAGCTTGAAAACAGTTATTACGAAACTACTTTGCAAATTGGTGTTTTTGGAGATGTACAAATAAAGTATCCATGTAATGGACGGATTGAAGTTGTGTCAATGAAGCACGTAAATAATGGCAAAAGTCTATAACCACCGCTTATTCGATGTATCTAACACACTACTCCTACATGTTGTGTCTCTTAATCTGTATCGTTCTTTCCAACAAAGAAAAAAGTGCATTTTTTTCTTTTGTTCCTGGGCAAAATTATAGCTTTTGGGCATTTTAATAGGTTATCTAGATGCCAGTGGTATTGAATGTTCTTGGTGATTTCAACAGCAACAGTTTGCTTCTGAAGTTTATTTTGTTTCTCGCTTGGTAAAGTCTAAAGAGTGATAAAAATTAGAGTTCTAGGCAAGTCAAGTCAAGTAAACTTCAGGTGGTTTTTCTTTTGGGCAGCCCCTTATAGTTTTTGTTATCGAGATTTCTTCTCTTTTTTCATTTTTCCCGAGGATGTTTTGGGGAATCTGCTCCTGTGCTGCAAAGATTGGCAGTTTGGCATTATAGTTTCAGCTGAGGCTCATGCTTTTATAGTCAATTCTTTAATATGTAATTTATGATGAATAATATTTGAAGTTTATCATTCAATTGTAGGTTTAGGATCTTTAGCTTTGGCTTTATCAAAAAAAAAAAGATAGTTAGCTTTGTTTCCTTTCCCTTCTCGTTCCTCAGTTTTCTCTGAACAAGGACATCTATCCACGTTAGATTTTAAATTGGTTTCTCATTGTAGCTTCTTCCGTTAGCTTTTTGATTTTGAAATCCTGTAGCTGTAGTGTATATATCGTAGTCATGATGTTATGAAATTCCATTGATATTTCTATAGGGAATTGGAGAAGGCAAAAGCAAAGGAGATACCTCACAAAGACATTCCTAAGGAGGATAAGCATTAGAGTATCTCAGGAATCTTTATAATGAAATAGAGAGGGCAGAACCAAAGGAGATACCTAGAAGACATTCACTAGCAGGACAAGAATGAGACATGCCTCAGGAATCTTGATAGTTTCATAATTTGCAGTTTCTCACCTGTGCTTCACCTTCTATTCTGTATAAAATTCTTCACAGTTTGATTTCTGATAGTGGATTTCTATTCTATTTTCTTAGCTACTCAACTGCTTGGTACATGTGTCCCTATGAATATCAATATGTTCACCTAATTTTACTGCTATTCGTTGGAAGTCATCGTTTAACATAACTTGCTGGACTTGCTAGACTGCTTAGATTTTGATGTAATCAAGTCCAGCCTTATCTTTGTAGTGTCAAAGTATCAGCTTGATACTGTTTTCAATAAAACCTCACCTTATAAAAAAAATAGATCCTTGGTGTAAGCTCATGAAATTTGAATAAACAGGCTGGATATGGTCGTTAAATGCACTTATGGTGAGAAATGATCATTTAATTCACGTTCTGTATTGAATTCATGAAGGAAATTCTTCATTTTACTATTGCCCGGAGATATAACTGATGCAAAACCGTGTCAGGGAGATGAATATTTGAAGGATAGCGAACCCTGCTTTACTCTTTTATTCAGGAATAATGGGCTTTTATGAATTGAAGTTGCGGACGACAAATGTGGAGTAAATTGACATGTTAAGATCTGGAATTTATCCTTCACAAAAGAAAAGCAAATGCAATTGCAAAAATTGTGGAGTTTGTAGGTGGTCATATCTAATTTGTCATTAGAGCTCAGCACAACTCCTTAATGATTAAAACTTTTGGACCAGTTACATTAAATGCATAAGCACAATGAACTCAACTCTTGCACGGTGATTTACTTAAAATAGCACTTACAATAGCAATTTCAAGTCTACTGCATACCCATTGAAACTAGTTAGTGGCCTTGTCATGTTTGACCTCCTTTATTCGATCGCCTTGTTGGAATAGATAGATGGCCTGTTTATTCACTATGACAAGCTTAGTATGCTTGTTAGTTACTCTAGAATGACTCTGTCCGGGAAGCCTATTTTTCAACCTCTGATAGCTGCAGATATCGAGCAAAATGCTCTCTGGCTATCATATTGGTGGCACTGGGGGACTCATTACCTTGTTCTAAAGATTATCGTACTCTGGATGCCAAGCTAGGTCAACCAAGTGCATGTTATTATATTCGGACTGAATTGGAATTACATCTGCTGCGCTGAGTTGCCAAAGTAGAGACTGAAGCTAGTAAGGCGTTAACAGGAAATGGTGCACACTTGAATATTATCATCCCTGTTGGTTCATCATTGTGAGGTTGGGCAATGCATTGCTGTCTTTATGACTAACTGACTATCAGGAAGGACTAAAAGGAATGAGATTTACATTCATTCATTCATGATAATGACGAGATCTGAAAATGTTTTTTGTTCTACAGTAACAAAAATATGATTCTCTTTTCGATTGGACAAGGCCAGGAAAGGTAACACGTGGTATGATTGTTGCATGTTGTTGTGGACCATCAAAATGCAGAGCAATTTTCACCTACCCAGGAACCACAGAGTGAAACTATTTGAAGAGCAAACAGAACAGCAAAGAAAGCTAAACTTTAAGGAAAGTAGTAGTCATATTCTACATGTAGAAATTGTTTTTTATGTCACTCGTAATGCAACAGGGATACTGATTTGTACAAGACTGCCTAGACCAGAGAAAACTGCTGTGCTGGTATAGAATAGCAACCAATTATAAGCATAAAGATACACACAAACGGACGAAGCTTCAGGTAACACATTTAAATTACACACTGCTTTGCTGCATGTGAATGACATTGTTTCTGCAGATCATATTGAATAAAGCAGTTCCCAAATAGTCGGCTAGTGAATCACATGATTGCATGCATGTGAATGTCACTGTTGTTAGAATAATTGTATAGTAATAATAGAAGAATTGTAATCATTAATATCTTTGCTTACATTTTCACTCATGTGCCTAAAGTTACAAAAAGCTAGTGGTGGCCCATATTCCTTCTCATAGATGATACAGAACTGCGATCAACTCTATCTTTAAGTTTCTAAACAGGGAATTTGGAAAGACTAAATTCATTGTTGAAACTGATGGTATTCTGTTGGGCGCCTTCAAAAATTTTCTGCTATGTGTTCCTAATGATCCATCTTCATGCTTCGTGACTTTTTTTTTTTTTTTTTTTGATAAGGTGAGATTTTATTGAGAACAGTATCAAGCTGATTATGTCAAGATTCATGCTTCATGATTTATATTCAATACTTAATGTCTGCTTGTGAAAATGGACAGTCCATGTACCTTGTATTTTTATTGTGTCAAGTTTGGTTCTTCCTCGTACAGCTACATATATGGTGCTAGGATAGTAGTTTCTGGTGGATTAATATTGGAGAACAAAAAAAGGGGCAGTAGTCAGGACTTATTATATAATCCTTGATCAATTTTCTCAAGTGATGAATGAGATGTGACTGTGTGAGTACAACTATGAAGCCTCTTGAGCGTGCTCTCATCGTTATTCAGCTTTACTGATGCTCATTCTGTGCGGAAGTTACAAAGTTAGCCTTAGAAATGTACCTCCTATGGTAAATAGGAAACTGTATCTTTTTAGTGGTTAAGTAAACTATATATTTTTCATTTTGGTGGTTCAAGTGACTTGACAAAGTCCATGATGGCCTTCTTGTGAAAGTTCAAGGGATATGCCTTCCGGACTTGATCTAACTATATAAAAGTATTCATATTTACTGGTGGTAGAATGATATATCTACTGCACTACGGCTTTAATCATAATAATCAAAGTTTTAACTTCTTTAACACGGATAATCAATGGGGATCTTCACGTATCATTGGAAATGTTCCGTGATAATGAATACATCAGAGCATGAGAATACTTTCTCAACAATTCTTAGCACATCAACGATAGATCAAACTTGATGATAACAACCCATTTCTCATACAACTTAGCAACACACGTAGAGCGAAGGAGGGATTCATTTATTTTGTTGACAATTGACAGCTCAATACTGCACACATATTGTGCTCCTGGAGTAAAAATGCAGAGGATCAGCATTACATTCTTTATCTAAATTTTCAAATCTAGAGCTCCAGCACCAAATCTACATTACACAGTGAGGAAAAAAGAGTCAGATAATAGTCTATTTGTGTGTTTACTTGAAAACAGAAGTCATGAATTTTAGCATAAGCTGTTTACTTAATACTTACAGTCAGCATCTGTTTTAATCCAATGCTCCCTGTTTACTGCTGACACATCATATCCAATATCACTTGGATAAACTTCCGAAGCATGTAATATCTTAGTGGGAATGGAAGCGTTAGTGAACATTTTGTTCAGTTTATTTGCTCCCAGTTTATCAGCCTCGCAGGAAATGTTTCTGATCTCATCCTTTAGTGGCTTGTTCTTATCTGTTAATCCCTCAGCTGGATGAACTTTCCTTTTTAACATTTTTAGGACCTGTACATGATAGATGAATAGCTTAGGTATTTGGTGATATATGCTGATGATTTCAACTCATTGTTTAGAGTACCTCCAAAATATCATGTTCTTAAGCACATGGGAAGTCAACTAAAATGTGTGACAGTTAGGTATCCAGCAGACAGGTTATTTTTGACATTTTTCGTGCTGATGTTTTGAAATAGAATCACGTTTTCAAGAATTTCTATGTGGGGAGCCTTTTCCAATGCCTAAAGTGGCTTGGTACATATTAGGCCTTCAAAGGAGAAGTCATTTTCATGGACAAGAATCTATTGTCTGCACTGTCTTAATCAGTGACTGCATGTTTGTCCTGCCATTTCAGGCAGCCTTCTCCTTAGGGGGAGGCTGGTATCTAGCTAGTCACCTTTGATTATAAATAATATGAGCAAGCCTTTCAAATGAAGTAGTAAATATTTAAGAGTTAATCATTGATAGGTCGAGATGGTACCAACCTGAGGGAGTTTCCTCTTACTTGAGACAGATTCATTGACATCTCCAGAAGAAGGATCTGTCGAGCTCATTGACTTGGAGTGGAGATTCTTCAGCATTTTCTTCATAAAATGAATTGCATGTCTTCCCTTGGTTTGTTTCTTCTCTTTTCCATCTTTTCCTATATGATGCTCTCCCGCTATGTTGTTCCTCTTAATAAAGAGCTCTCCTTTTGGTTTTTTTCCCTCTACTTCTGTCTCTGAAAGTTCAACTGAATAGCCGAATAGATATTTCTGGAGTGGACATTCGAGAGAATTACCATAGGTTTCTTGTAATTCAGCCTCCTCCATTTGTTTTTCGCTACTGAGTGTAATAATGCTTGCATGGCTGCTTCTCTCTGATGATTCATGAGCAACTTCAGCTTCTAGAAACTTCTCTAGCTCATCATTTATAAACTTCAATTCATTCTCTTTTATGTCTAGTACTTCACCATGAATTACATGCTCAAGATGCATAGGAAATGTAGGAGTTGGAGGGTCACTTTTTATTGTTTGAGAACCAAGAGTACCAATTGAAAGAAAGCCATGGAAAAGTTCTTCTTCCAAAGCCATTTCTGTTTCGGTGCTTTTAACTTCCTTGCAAGCAGGTTGCTTTGAGATTGTGAAGCTGTAGTTTGCTTTTCCATAGTATTCTTGCTCTTCAAATAATGTGCCAGCTGAGAAGGAAGTAGCAGAGTTTCCTGAAAATAATGATGATCATAATAGTGAGAAAAATAAGATAAAAATGTAACAATTGAAAGGAAAAGGATAGTGTAAAAGAGTTCATTCCAAATGGAAGGAACTGAAAGCAGATATATGCAGTGTGAAATAATTACGTACCTAGTATGATATTCTTCGCGGACTCATTGCTGTTTTGCTTTGCTTTACGGTGCATCCAACCTAGTAACTGCAACATAGATGAAGTTAGGAAGTTTGATTTGATTGAGCATATCCAGATATATATATATATATATATGCGACTTTAATTTTGGACTCACCTTCATATTGAACTATCTGGAGAAGTGCAGATGAAACCGGGGTGTTCGTTGGAGAGTTTTTGGAGAAACTGTGTTAGAAGAAAGATATTTACTTGGTAGTTGGAGGAAGACATGCAGTACTAGATAAAGGAAAATTTTAGGTGGAAGAACAAAGCAATGTTTTGTCATTATTTTCTCCTGAATAGAAATTAAAGCCAGCATCACTAGCAGGGAAAGAAGTACATTGAGAAGATTACAAGATAAAGGTTGGCTATTTTCTTGTCAGTATTGCATTGATTAGACAAGTTGAGATGAAGTAGACCTACAAGTTGACGATGCTACAGTGTGATATGGGCACAAAGTTTGCACTTTATCATTGCATATAGATTCCTAATACATATGTCTGTCATGTTGGCCTGGCATCTGATAATTTCCAGAACAGAATGCATGAGTAATTGAGTATGATCTAACTTTACTTGCATTCTTATTAAATGGGCTTGACTACATTGAATCATAAGACACATCTACTAACCACCCTAGGAAAAGTGGCGAAGAAATGCATGAGGTTTGTTACAGTATTGGACAGCCCGGTGTACAAAATATTTTGCGTCCATGCAGGGTTCGGGGAAGAGTCACAGCCTCAGGGGTGTGATGTAGACAGCCTACCCTAATGCAAGCGTTAGTGGTTGTTTTCATGACTCGAACCCGTGGCAAATAGTGTTGACTTGAGTTTTGCTCCAAGGCTGCTCTTCAGGTTAATTACAGTACTGATTGGTGAAATATATCTATGTTGCCTTCTGAATTGGCTTCCGAAAGTGTACGTTAGTATCTGATTACTGCAACTGCGAGTGATCACAAAGTTTTTATCATGTGCCTAGGCTTCATTGAGAAGGCTGCATGCATGTCAATCTACAACTATTTTTCCTGCGACAGATCTTCTCTGTTGATTATAGATTAAGTGTGAGAAGCTTGGTTTAGTTTGAACCGTTGATGGAACATTTTATTTGCCTTCGCTAAAGGGGTTAGTCACTTAGTTGTTAAGTACAGTTTTTATCGATCATCTTGTCAAAATTAAAAACTAAAATTTTAGTACTAAAGTACTCCATTTCTTTTATGCAAAACTTGATTGTGATCTAAATATGTTTTAGTAATCTCTTTGTGGCTATAAAATCATATCACTAAGGAAAAATAAAAAAAAATAAAGTTAAATTCTGCTCAAATATAAATTATGTCATTCTTTTTGGAATAAATAAAAAAAAGTGGGGAAGGTACCCGTTTTTTCTTTTCTACTATTGGAACAGTAGAATATGATATTTGCTTAATTAAGTTAATAATAAAGTGTACTAACGGTGACAGCCAAATGCTTAAAGCACATTATTAATTAGTCACACTCAAGTTTATGTATACATATATGGATGTTTGCTGTACTGTATATATCGTGCCAACCCTACTCATAGTGGTTTTATGAAATCCTGTTGCCTCTGATTAATTAGCAAATGTGTTTGGACTATTATGTATAACCAGATATGGACAAGAATATGCAATGTTTAGGGTGGTTAAGATGTTGTTTATGAAATCCTGTTGCCTCTCCTTTTTCTTCTTTTTTCATATAATATTGCTAGACATTGAAAAGAGGATATGAGTGTAGTCGAAGGATATAAGAGATGGCAATTAGGTGTAACATCATACTTCCTAAATCACCCGACAAGCACTGAGGAACAAGCGTTAGTGGCAGTTGAGCATATTTTACTATTGTTATTCTTATATTTCTTTATTCATAGTTTGTTTTTACTTCCTGTTATTTCTTTCACTTCGATTATCCTATTATTTTACTATTGTTACTGTTTACTGTTATTGTTTTGTTTACTTTTAAAATGGATAATATTTAAATTTGTACGCGGTTTTAAGGATATGTGGATTGATTCAACACAAATAATCAAGAACATTAGGTAAATGAGTTAAAGACAAAATGAATGATCAAACCAGTTGTCACTACTAGAAATCCGGAAAAAAGCGATCACAAAAAGCGACCAAAGTTGGTCGCTTACAAGTCACAAAGCGACCAAAAAGCATCCAAACTGGCTTGGTCGCTATTTTGCTGGTCCCTTTACCTTAGAGACCAAAGTTGGTCGCTAATTAGCGACCAACTTTGGTCTCTAAGGTAAAAGGACCAAATATCCCGGTAAACAATATACCGACTAACTTTAGTCGCTTTAATATTTTAATAATATAAATTTAGCGACCAACGTTGGTCTCTATATTTAAATTACGTTATTTTTTTATTTATTATTATTCAAAATATAGCGACCAACTTTGGTCTGTAAACCAAATATTATATTTTAAATTTAAAAAATAGTAACCAAAGTTGGTCGCTTTTTTTTTTAATTTTTTTTAAACATAGGCGACCAAAATTGGTCGCTAATTTCAAGAATTTAATTTTTTTTTAAACATAAGCGACCAAAATTGGTCGCTAATTTCCAGAATTTTTTTTTAAATAGATAAGCGACCAAAGTTGGTCGCTTTTTAGGAAATTTGGGTTAATTAGCGACCAACCTTGGTCGCTATCGCCCAGAAAATATTTTTTTTAAATAGAAAAACGACCAAAGTTGGTTACTTTTCTGGGTATAATTTTGGCAGAAACTGCCTGTTTTGGCAGCTACACCACCTGCCAGTATACCAAATTCCTAAATAACAATATAATTCAATTCATAAACTACAATTTCAATACCAAAATCTCCACAACAACCCAACAATAACACCACCACCACCACCACAACAACAACAACAACAACACAATTTAAAAAACACATTAAAACCAACAAATTAAAGTTCAATAGAAGTAACAAATTAAACTAAGTTAACGCTTATTACACCTAGTTCAAAACCAGTTCTATTTGTCTAGTTCAAAGTATATAAAAGATGCAGTATTATCTTCTACCCTCCTCTTTGCCTTCCTAGCCTTTTCTCGACCCCGAGAACCAGTAGAGTCATTGTTACCTCGACCCTTGCCTGTCATCTGCATAATATAATACATATTTAGATTGAAACATATAAGAAACTAGCTATAAAACGAGAGTTATTAAAGAAACCAACTTTTTAAAGCTCATCGACGTATTGTTCCTCGTCCGAGAATTCTTCTTCCTCACTAGTTTGAGCTTCATCAGTTGATTCTTCTTCCTCATTTTCTATAATTCTTACTTTATTTATATCAACTTCTTCCAATATGTGTTCAGGATGTTCCAAATTATTTTCTAAAAGTTCGTCCACTATTTGGTGAACACTGGAGATATCGTCTTGATATGCAACATCTAACACATTCTCGACTTCCACCCTATCTACAGGCTTAGTTTTTATTACAACCCACCAATCGGACTTATTCCGCCGCATGGATAAGGAGCATAATACACTTGCCTAACATTATGTGCAATTATGAAAGGATCATAGCGATCATACTCCCTCGTATGATTAACCTCAATTATGTTGTATTGATTGTGTACTCTTGTACCTCTTGTTGGATTTGGGTCAAGCCACTTGCATCTAAAGAGTATCAATTTCTTAAATAGCCAATCTGTATATTCTAGTTCTATTATTTCTTTGAGCACACCATAATAATCAATATCTCCAACTTGGTTTTCATCACCACCTTGAACCCACACCCCGCTGTTGTTGCTATTTTTATTTTTAGAGCAATCCTCTGTATGAAACTTATAACCATTCACAACGTGCTTAGACATTGTTGTGACCTGAAGCCCAGGTCCCCAAGATATATCTTTCAAAAATTGATCTACACCATTATTTGGATCATTTATCTACATATTGTTAAAAAAATTCATAAGTTAGCATAACTTCCAAACATTGTTTACCTACATAGTGTTAGAATATTATAAGGATAAACTTATAAATTGTTTGAACCACGTACCAAATCTCGTATATACAGCATCATGGCCAAATTGACTCACGAAGTGACTGTGACACATCAAATATTTTTAGTAGTTGCATTGAGATGTAGTCATAATAAATTTTATATTTTGATAACTACTAAATCAATACTTACTTGAGAAATGGTACAACTTCGGGACAATTTAGCAACACATGAAGTGTAGCTGACTTGTACTCCATATCACTCAAACTTCTCTTTCTAACTGCCTTAGAACATAGGCCTGGTTGATTGAATATGGACATAGGCGGATATAATGGATCATTCACACATTCGACCATGTGCCTATTGGGCCTATTCCTAGCACATGACACATTACTCTCAAAATAATAAGAACAAAAATGAGCAGTTTCCTTTGCAAGATAAGCTTCGCATATAGATCCTTCAATCCTATTCCTCTGCTTAACAAATTATTTGCATTTGCCAATTGTCCTACATAATTTCAGGTTAGCCAAGAACATTCAAATAAAATAGAAAATTACATCAAACTTATAATATTACCTCTCAAAGGGATATATCCATCTGCATTGAACATACCTTCCAAGTCGTGCCTCGTGTACAAGGTGGATTGGAAGGTGTTCCGTCCCATCAAAAAAACCACATGGAAATATCTTTTCCATCTTAGTAGAAGTTACGCGAATGTTCTGATCCATCCGGAGTAGGTTTTCTTCCCTTAATGTGGAAGAACACAAGTCTTTGAAAAATAAACTAATCTCTGTGATGGGTTTCCAGATTCTTTCAGGCAAACCACAAAATGTAATAGGCACTAAGGTCTCCATGAAAACACGACAGTCATGACTTTTCAAATGGCTCAACTTCCCTACCTCCATATCAACTTTTTTTCCAAGATTCGACGCATAACCCTCAGGCATCTTCAATAATTATTTAATAATTTTCTCCAATTTAGCGACCAACTTTGGTCGCTTTTCTTGACAGACCAATTTTGGTTGCAAATTGTTGGTCTCTTTTTTCCGGATTTCTAGTAGTATGTAATGTTACGGCCCAGCCTGAACCTAGGTTGAACAGTAGTTTCGCCATCGATCGGGCCCTTGGTTCGAACCCAAATCGGATGAAGAACAAACAACTATGTAAGAACTTTTGCAATAGCTAGAAAGCAGAAAATGAATTTGTATTGCCTTGGATTTCGTGTTACAATGTGTCAATCAAAAGAAAAAACCTCATCTTTATATAGTAGGAGAATTTCATCCCTAGTACAAGTCTAAAAAAGGCAAAAATCTTCCTTTCCCATTAATTACTGATCCGTAATCGGTCAGGTACGAATATCACGGCCCTTTATCCGTCATGTGTAACTGTTTACCGTGTTTCCCGAGGTTTTAGAATTCGTTCTGGATCCGGGGAGCGTTGCTTTATCGTACCCGGTGATGAAC